GGGGTTGTTGCGCCGTGTAGTCTGGTAGATGTTTACCAACTTTTCAGAGGCCATATTGCCTCCATCATCAGGGCGATCATCGCAAAAACCCAGAAGACAGAAATCTTCATACTCACCTCAGATGTTACATATCCGATATTTATGTCGGTCAGTTAGTCTTAGGTAATCCTATAGAAGGGAGCATATCTTGAAGTCGCTCATTACGTGTTATTATTAGTATTCTGAAGTCCAAATATGCTGAGCACTTTGCTCCTCAAGTCCCAAGACATGCGGCAGCTAGAGGCAGGGGGCCGCTTAACAAATCGTGACACTCATGATGGATCAGCCCTCACAATGTCACTAACCGCTACAAAGTCTGCTGCCTGCATTGTGATTGCGCCACAGCCTGCCTCTCCACACGTCCACCTCATTCACTTAACGATGCTGTATCAAATACAGACGTCATACGGTTTATATAATCAAATACAGTGAGCTTATACTATGTACATTCAATTTTAAAGGATTTTTATGACGGTAGTTTACACTTAAAATTATTCATTTTCAGGACTTTTTCAATCGTCTGTTCTTTAAAACCACGACGTTTCGGAGGCTGGTTCTGTCTCCGTCTTCAGGTGAGATGTAACTACTCTATGACAGAGACTAACTCTATCTAAGGGACACAACAGAGTAGATACCTCTCACCTCAAGACGGAGCCTCCGAAACGTCGTGGTTTTAAAGAACAGACGATGGAAAAAGTCCTGAAAATGAATAATGTCATGCTACGTAACTCCTGCAGAACCAGTAAGATGAAAGAATGAATTGGTCGTGGTATATTTCATGCAGATAAACGCAAAGGTACACAAATGTGTAAGTATCAAAGTATAAATAGGTCCTATGTAGGTCTAGTTTTGGTTATAACTTACTTCGTGGGAAACAAAATTTCTTCTTTAAATGTAATTTTCTGTGTTGTACAAATCAGATTAGGCTATCACTTATTGAATTATTTAATAACGCATTTTAGTCAGCTCTGAGGCCCACCCAGTCCTCTGTTAAACTGGTTCCAGGGGCGTTTTACCCGGGATAAGACGGCAGGAGCACTCACCCCCATCTACACTGGAGATTTAGAAATCAGGTTTCCCTTCAATTGGTACATCCTGCTGTGTCACTATGGTAAAATAAGTCAAAACTAAGAAGAGTAACAGTCAATATAACAATTTGGTCCATAAAATATACGCCTAAGTACGAATAATACATAGACAAATATTTTATAGTTGTTTTGAAGTTCATTGTGTGTGTAATGAGATGATAAAGTTGCTTCATATTGTGATAAATATATATTTGTTTAAATCTTGTCAGTCTAATCACAATATAGTTCATTTGGAACTGAAACATGTCGTGTGAAAAGTGAATGTTCTAATTGTAAATCGAACATTTTCGATAGAGAACATCATTTTAATATATTTTAAATATTTAAATGTTAATTATAGTAATATTTTAATATTTAATAGGAATTTTATTGTTATTAGACTGACAAGATTTAAACAAATATATCGGTCTAATGTTACACATGAACACGTTCTGAGAGACGTCCGGTTCATCGCCCATGCACGAAAGAGAAAATGTAACACGGTCGTCGTCTACGTATAAAAAGTGAAAAACAGCGAATCCCGTAATATAGGCTACCCGTAAGACACGTGTATCTTTACGGAACATAAGTTTGTGTGTGTCTGGTACTTTTTAAATTCTTTTTCCTTTATAATTTCTGCCTCTCTCTGCATTTTTCTTATGTTCCTTCATTCCTTCTCTTTCATTGTTTCTACTTATCTTTCATCCTGCTCTATTTCAGTTGTTCCACGATTTCTCGTCCCCTCCCCTCGCAAAACACCCCCGCTTCTGATCTTTTAATCTCGTGTGTCTCAATTTAGGTCGATTTGTTTCTGAAACAGTCACACAATACTTGACCGCTAGGGGCGCTCTATCTCTAAATGCGCAGACAATCGAGAGTCGCGACCATTGTGTTCGAAGCACCCTGTGGTCACAGTATTTGACCCGATGTTGGGATGAATGGGCCCCCAGTATAAAAGGACCAGCACAATATTGTTATGTATTTATTAATACTCTCACACTGCAAGCCTGATACAATTAAAATAAATGGCTTTCGTTTCGTCAGTGTCAGAGATGTTTCAGAGTTTGACAATCCGCTTCCCAGGGCAGCCAACGTTCAAATGTGAGACCAAACACCATACGTGTCTTCAGGATGAGATCGCACATTGCAATTTCGTGTTATTACAGACATCTTTAGACGTAGTATTTGAAGTTTTCTCAGGACGGCGAGAATGTCTTCTGGGTTTATGCGCCGTGTAGTCTGGCAGAAGTTTACTGACGTTTCAGAGGACGTTGCTGCCTCCATCATCAGGGCGATAAGTGATGATTGAGGTAGCAAGGACATCTGAAACGCTGGTAACTTTTAAA